GGATTTTTTGGGACACCCTGCAGTTTAAAAAGTGGCGTAGCTCAAGTTCTAGTTTTGGCGATATCGCTCAGCTGATTTGTAAAAATCTTAGAAAGTTAAAAACCGGCACTTACGTTGCCTGTCTCGCCGTCGCGCGATTATCGGTGAAGGGCATCCATGTTGCTGGTTGTCCCGTCGACGGCCCATAGAGAAGACCAGACCTAGGATCGTAAATTCTGCATTATCCAACTTCAGTTACTGGATAAGAGCGAGCAAATATTCTTGGTCGTCGATGAGAAGAAACGCGGTTTTCACGGCCTTATCATCTATACAGCTTCTAGCCCAGGCGAAGTCCCACATTTTGGCCTCGTAGTTAGGGGCTCGTTGCGCGTGGCACTAAAATAAGCTAATTTAGAAATGACGTACAGGATTTTACCACGAAACGGAGTTCTTTGACCGAGGTGGTTACCATGGCCATACGATTCTCCAGCAAGCGCGTACCATTATCGCCCCTAAACATCGTCAACAGGTTTTCGGCGGTAAGCCTTTTTGTTCCGAGTTTTTCTTACATTCACCAATCTTTCTAACAAATATGCTCATTTTCTGATGCTTCTCGCAACAATATGTGTCTTACGCCTTTAAATTTGACGCTCTGCGCAATTTTTATGCCTTTACTGGCAGCCCAGCGACAGCTTTTTGAAAGCCATTTGTGAAAACACAGCTTTGTTAGCGCTCAAACCGGTTAAATTGAGTTTTTGATAAAAAACTCATGTCCGGGCATGAAAAATACAGAAAATGGAGAGCAAAAATGGGGTTTCGAGAGCGCCATACAACTTCATCTACAATTTGCTTCCGATGAAAAACTAAATCCCAGTTAATTGCAACTCTTCAGAAACCACAAACCCCAAAACGGTTGGTCGGTAGACATCTGATGGTGTCCATAGGGTACCGCATACATGAGGCACGTCCAAGAATAGCTTGGCGCCTACACGATCAAGGTAGCCGATCGGTGGAGGCTCGACTGCGTGGAGCTTTATTTTCTCGAAAGTTCTTACTTGGTTCACCTTCCACCGTGATGTCGACCCTGTGATAGGTCACCCGATTATCATGGTCAAGGAGCACGACGAGATTCGTCCTCGCATTTCCCGCCAGGATTTCCTTGTAAGGCCCGCAGCCATCCAATGGATAATCAGCTCGTGCTTGCATCGGTTGGCCAGAGAGTATGCTCTCAACCCTCGCGTGTACCAGATACCTTAAAGTAAAGCTTAAAAATGGGGTTGTGTTTTTATTAGAATTTAGAATCCGAAAAATCGCCGGAAAAATCGAGCAAAAGGGCGGAAAAACCGTGAACAAACTAGCATCATACCCATTTTTTAGCCAGAGCGCCCTATCGCCAAGAATGATGAGCTGAAATTGGGAATTTTTTATATGAATGTTTGATAAGCAATGAAGATGATCATGCGGCCCTAAAAATAAAATACCTCCTTGAGTTCGTCAACATTCAAACCGTCAAGGTCAGGGATTTCCTCGAGCGTATTTGTTTTGCCTGCCATTACTTTAGATACGTTTGTTCTCGTGGTTCCGCCAGGCCCAGATGCAATCGAAAATGCTTTAAGGTAAGCTGTAAAAACATTGCCCCTACTATATACTCATTTCCGATCAGCTCCCACGCTCGGATTTCCCCAACACCGCAATTGCAATCCCACAACAAATGCAGCCGCAACTCGCCGTCGCCACAGCGGTAGGCTACTATCCGATCTAAGAAAAAAGAAAATGAAAAACCGTGCGTAGCGAATAAAATTGTGGCCCACCGAAATCCACGACAAACACATAATCAGCCGGCCGTCCGGCGGTATCCACACCGCGCCAAACTCGGATCTTCTTAGTCGGACCTCGGCCGGAGTCGGCGTCTGAAGTTTTAGCGCGGAGCACGCTCGTCGCGCTCTAAAAAGCGCCCTTGAAGCGATCACCGATTGCTTTGAGGCCGTCTTGCATCTTTGCGCCCGTAGCCAAAAACAACAGTGCAACAATGACCCATTCAGCACGCAGCAACGGACCTTTTTTGCCGCTCGATCCAAGCAATAAAAATGGTTGCCTTCCACTAAATACAGCTTTTTTCGCGAAAGGGCAATGTCCGTCTGGCCGAGCCTGTCAGGACGCCATGCCTAAAAATTTCCATAGGCGGTTAGATGGAATTCCGGTCAATTCGCCTAAATCCTTTTCAACTAAACCCGTTTCGCATAAGATCCATTGCTCACAAATCCCATTTCGCCTTATTACATTTCGCCTACCTTATTGTTTGACCGTTTTCATTGCTAAATTCTTGACAGAAAATTTGACATCGTTCGAAATTTTTATAATTGTTTCGCACATTCCTAGAGTTAGTTCTGAAACTTCTTGAATAATAGCCTTGTAAATTGCCTCAAAAAGGGGCTTTCACAAGGATTTAATAAAATTAAGTTCAAAAATTTATAAAAAACTTAGAATAAATTCGAAAAATACCGATTTTTTTTGTGTTGATAAATGCAGCAATGAAAACGGCGAAAAATGTAGGTTTAATGGGTTTCGGCGAAACGGGCTTTAGATGAAATAGGATTGAGGCGAAATGGGTTTAGGCAAACTGGCGTTAGACGTTAGACGGTCACCCGTTAGACGGCCACAGCTAGTTGGCCCGGAATACCGGCGGAAGAAAAAACCCGAATTTCTCTGGTTCTTAAACTTTAGAAAATGCAAACGCACCTTGGGCATGCGGAAACGCTCTTTCACATAACCGCATACACGTTCCCCGCCCGTTTCATCCAAATATGCAAATACTACATCGTCAGCGCTACCAGCAGTAATGTATGGTATTTTCCATCTAAATTTCACGGCGGTCGAGCAAATTGATCTTTTTAGAACGCGTAGATTTGCTATCATAATGTTAAAATTTCATCACGTCGAATTTCAGAATGTCGAAATCTCACTGTGTCGGAATTTTTGCGCTTCCGCGAGATTTACCTAAGTAAATTCGTCGGAAATCGCGACGTTATGAAATTTCGACACTATAGCATTTACTCATTACGCAATTTAGACATTTTTCGGCGTTCTGAATTTCGACATTATGAAATTTCGACATTGTGAAATTTCGAAACTATGTTCTTCGATATTTTGAAAGCAACCCGAAAGTGCAAGTGTTTAGCCTTTCACCCACATCTTATTCGGGTCCTCCCCGCGCGGTTTCTTTATTATAATTTCAGCCGCAGTGGGTTCAAAGATATTCGTGATAGACATCGAGAGGCGGCCGTGACACTAAAAAATTCTGTTTGCAACACAAAAGACATATTTTAATTAGCTGAATTCATGGCCAAAACTTACAGAAAGCTTCGATTCCTGCTCATAAAATAGCCACTCCAAATTTGCCGGAAAGATCCATTCGTTCGATTGCCGCAATAAATTCACTTTCTTCTCCCGTTTGCACAGAGCTATTATATCCACTACGGTTCTCCATTCCGGTGCCCTTAAAAAGTTATCTGAATTTTAAAAGAAAGCAAACGATCTTTGCTAGCTGGCCCTTATTAATGATTCGATTCTCTTACGGTAAAACATACCTTTCTCCCCACAAATCCTCTATTAATTTTACAAAGTCGATAATTGCATATTTCATAGAATAGGTCAATACAAGAATACACGGTCCTAAAAATGTGATTTTATATGGATTTCTTAATAGAATTATTTACCTTCGAAAGGAGCCTGATATGGAACCACTATAAATTGCGTAATCACTTCATTAACACAAAAAATCCGATATAACCGCTCTCCCGTCTGTCGTTTTGCGAGTTTTCCTTCAGTCAAAGGCCCAATTTCCAGGCAGTTTTCGATAGCTAAAGTAATTATTAGGTCATAATAAATTGATTTAACATACCGGTCACCATCCAGGTAGTATCGTTAAATTCAACAACATTAATAGCGGTGCGCGGCGACAGAATTGGCGGCACCCGACATCCGGACATTCGTTTGGAGTTTTAGCCTTTAATAATAATAGCTGCGGATATATTTAGAGATGAATCTTATTGAGCATCTGATATCAATGAGAATGGTGTTCGGATTACAACGGCAGTTTGGCAACAGGCCATAACAGCTGCGTTTACCCCCCCCCCGTCCCGATCGTTTTATTGCATAAGCAAATCTTTGGGGGGATTGGACAGTTGGGGTCACAGTGCTAAACAAACAGAAAAACATAAAGAACCCGATGCGGCTAGCATCAATCGCCGATTTTACAAAGTCCTGATTTTTTTGTGATTTGTCCACATGATCCTTTTTGAGGAATTGTTTTTCATATTAATTCTTTTATAAATTTATCCTGAGAATTTCATCCAAATTCATAGAAAACAATTATCCGCCATTTAAAAAATTGACTAATCAAAAAAATCGCGTATCATAATGGACGCCGGGGCCCGCCTCGCCCCGCTTTCAGCTTTCGAAATCTGGCTTTTATTGAAAAAATCGACTCTCGGGTCAGCGCCCAAAAAAGTTTAATAAGTGCTTTTTCCCGGTTAACAGAGAGAGCGAGAGAGAGAGAGGGGGGGAGAGAGAGAGAGAGAGAGAAGAAAAGAGAAAAAGAGAGAGAGAAAGAAAGAGAGAGGAGGGGAGGGGGGGGGGGGAGAGGGGGGGAGAGAGAGAGAGAGAGAGAGAGAGAGAGAGAGAGAGAGAGAATGAGAGATAGAAAGAGAGAGAGAGATGAGGAGAGATGAGGTGAGATGAGCGAGAGATGAGCGAGAGATAGATGAGAGAGAGAGAGAGAGAGAGAAAGAGAGAGAGAGAGAGAGTGATATTTGTTACATCTAAGCATCGGTTGGGGGGTCCCAAGATTCATCGAAGGTTTTTCATGTGCCGTTCGTCTGTTAATTATGTCGGATATGTTAAATAAGTCCCTGGTGGTATGTGCTAACGTTTTAACCATCAGACGACTAAAATCAAGAACCGTTTTATCCACAGAAAAGCCATCAAAGCACCAGTATAATTTTTTTAGTCGCCAGATTCTACTCGTTTCTTTCGGTCTTCGAAAAGCACGCACAGGGCCGGGCTATCCGCAGAGACGTTTTTGTGTAGATCAGTGCATGGTTCCTAGAAGCACCGATAGCGCTAATTGGTGATTTCACTTACAGCAATATTGGGCAGATCTTCGATTCGGATAAGGCGTCATCGAGCAAGCCGGTGGCAGCGAAGAAATTCGAAAATGGGATAGACTAACTGGATTTTTTATGAAAGTTACCTTGGTTCCGTCGGATGCTTTAGCGAGGACCCAAACAAACTCCTCTCCACGTTTATGCAGAAAGTAGCAAGGATCTATTAAATTAATATAATACAATATTTAAAAATTAAATAATCGTTACTGCAATCGACCGGATCCATTGCCTTAATCCATTTAACGACTACCTTTTCCGAAGTCCAGCTCTCGCGGCCATAGTGAATCGGTGTTCCGGATTTTGACCGTCACAAAGTTTTCCTGATTCAAGAGCTAGAAAAAACTTGATTTTCTTGTTTATAGACTGCAGAAAAGCTTTTTATAGAAAGGCGGTTGTTATAGAAACTTTAAAAGCTCGAGGTAAATTTTAATCTTTTTTTTATATTGTGAAATACCGATATCGTTTTGCCATCATAATCGATATACGTGTAGTCGGGCAGGCCCTGAATTAACTAGTCGCTGAAATCCGGAATCTTCACCTTGCCGAAGGCGAATTTCGTTCGCGCCACATTCCAGAGAGCATATTTCTAAACACCAATTTGTTGCAATTTCTCGAAGCTACCGCTTTGCTGTCGCCCTCCTCTTCGACATAATAGACCTCCACATCCGAGCCCCTTTTTTGTGTCGAACGTTTGAACGTCATCTGAATAATATGGAACGTAATCTTGTGGACATTTTTTTGCTGCTATGAACGGTATATTTTATTAGTGTGTGACTGCCTATGAACGGTTTGTCAGGACTAGCGGTTTGTTACCATTTTGTAAAGTTTTTCTTCTTTTTAAAGCAGGTTGTTTGGCCAAAATGGGAAGCTATTCGGAATCAACGAGAAATTCGTCGCATGATAGGCTGGGTCCGAACCCGAAACGCCAATTTGACCTTTCAAGGAGACGTTTTTGAGTGTCGCCCGAACTAGGGGATGAGACCAGGTTTGTCTTGTGCAGAATTTTGCGCTGATTCCGGATACTTTATGTCCATCGAAAGTCGCGACTGATAGACGCGTTTTGTTTAAATCAAAAATTAATTTAAATAAGTGCTAGAAATTGCTATTGCGCAAAAACGGTAATGATATTCAGAGCCAGTGCAAAGTTCTGCACAGGAGAGGCTGGGCTCGACCCCGAAGTCCGGACTATACTGAAAGACGTCTCCTTGCCAGTAGGTTCCTTGTTGGACTTCCTCCTCACCTGAAAACGCGGTTCTTTCGAATGGACCTGCTTCATCGCCACGGCGTCACGGCGCAGGGTGGAAAACCACTTGGCTTCCGGCATAATTCCGTATTGACTGCAGCTCGTTTTGAACTAACAAGAAGTGCGCCCACCCGATTGCCATGTAGTCTCCTTGGCCACAGTCGCCCGTGCACAGTTTGCGCTTGCAGTCGACCACCGTGACGTAGTACATCCAGAAAAATCCCTCCCACCACTCGTACTAAATGGACGGCAAAGTAATTGATTTCTTGGTATTTAGTCTGTATTTGGGGACTACCACTTCGCGACCCTGCAGAGCTTAAAACAATATAAAGAATTTGAATTCTAATTCGAAACACTAGAATTTACGAAAGTTATTACAAAAGCAAAAATAATTCTGAAAATGGGGTTGGTAAGCTATTTTTTTTCAGGATCTTCACTGTTTTTCGACATTCTGTTAACGCAATTTGATAATAAAGCGTCAAAAAATATGCTAGGAGTTTTATGTACAGCTGAAAATAATGTCATTGAAGATAATAGAAAACACTTATGATTACCAACCGTTTGCGGGATGTACATGCAGTTCGCTTGTCCCGGCCCGCACCGCCGGGTCCGCTTCAGTATCAACACTTCCGGCATAGACGGATCTACAATTACGATATCGTAAAATTCAACCCGAAAATCACCTTCAACGTTGCCCTTTATCATCAGCTCGAGGACGTCGAATGAGCCGAGTGATTCCCGCCCCATCAAAACGAGCGTCGCCACCGCAACCCGTACCCCATTGATGGTTTCCGTCTTTGTCGAAAAAGGGAAGTGTTGAGGTACAAAATTTTGTTATGCATACCAAAGCAAAGCCCGCATCGCAAAATTTTGTCCCGGCATGCTCGTTGACGGCTGTCAATAATTCTAAGCGCATTTTAACGGTATTATCATGGCTCGCTTACCATTTTCCGGTTGGTAGATGAGTAGGGTAGCGCGATATTCACCGACGGCAGCTATCTGAAAAATTGTCAAATAACCTATACTTAAAATATTCAGATTCCTCGCGCGAAAATATTGGTTGCTTTTTTTGTCGCACCCACCAAGGTAAAGCCCAGGTCGTCGAATGGGGCGGCAACAACCTTTTCGATTTGATGCGCAATTAACCCTGGTTGTACTGTCACCACCTCGTCCCGTTCGAGCGCTAGGTGAAACTAAAGATTGTTATATAATACCAGGGTTGAAAAGCCGCTTCGCGACTTTTCAACCCTGGCTCCGTCTCGGACCCCATACTATTCTCCCTTTGCATAATTGTGCTTTCATTCAGAAGACAAAAAATGAAAACAACCGTTTCTGCCTCTTTATATAGGCGACCACCCACTTCCGCTCCATGCTAATTATTCCTAACAAAGAGGATTTTACAAAAACCTAAATTTAATAGCGAAAATGGCTAATTTTTAAAAATCTGATATGTGTGCAGTCATCCCTAGAAAATTACGCACCTAATGACGTATCATACGTAGATTAATACCCGTCCCTACTTGAGATATCCTCCGGACAGACAGACGGAAGTGGATGCAAAGTGGCACACACACACACACACACACACACACACACACAAACACTATTTTTTTATATATAGTAGGATAAGTGCATTCCTAATAAATGATACGGGGCGCAACGGCGCGTTATCGGCTGTTTCTGTGCCAACTTTGATGATTAAAACACCAAAACAATTTAGAATTGATTTTAGAAATGAGATCAGAAACTCAAAGTTATCCGGTTTTCACAAAGAAGTCGGCAAGGCAAAAGCAATTTCGCGCAAAAATCGAAATTGTGAGGCTCTGGTCCGGCAGCGGTCGTTGGCTATTTGGGAACTATAGGGTGCCTCCCAAAAGCGCTTACATATTTGGCACTGCTTGGCCCCCTGAAACTCACCCTTTCATTCTCCCCATTCATGGCTATCATGCTCGCGTTGCCATCGCTGCCTATATGGCTGAAAAAAAGGCTGTGATCACCATCGGCTGAACCTACACTCCAGAGCAAAGTTCTCTAGCCGCATGCATCTCCCTGAGGTTATGGCGACTGGATGCCCAGCGCCTCTTGGTCTCGTAGTCGTAGATTAGAGGTGAATAGTGATCCTAAACGACGGGCTAAAACGGAGCACGTGGACTTTAACGAACGTCGTTGGTCCAGTATCTCGGCAAATGTCCCCAGCCGAACACCTGAATTCGCAGATTTCATTAACGGGACACCACCTACCAGACAGCGCTGTGTTGCGTGAGAAAGGAAGCATTTTGCCTCCCTCAAATCCGGGATGCTATCGAAGCGGAGCTGTTGGAAGATGAGCTGCTCTTAACAGGCGACTGTGATGAGGTTCAAGGGTTTTTCATGCGGTCGAAATTCATAGTGCCGAAATTTATAATGTAAAAATCAAAATGCCGAAATTTCGTGACGTCGAAATTTCATGATGGCGAAGCTCATAGCGGCGGAATTTATAATTCCAAGATTTTATAATGTTGAAATTTCAGAATGCCCAAATTTCATGACGTCAATCTTTCCGAATGTCGAAATTACAGTTTTACATTGTAAAATTTCAATTTTATCTTATCGAAATTGATAGTGTCCGAACGTCATAATTTTTAAATCTATCATGTCCAAATTTTACCGTTTCGAAAATTTAACTGAACAAACACCAAAGAAAATCTCACCAAATCTTAAGCAGAAAATTATTGAGAGATCGAGAAAACATCTTGAAATTTTGGCATTATGAAGTAGCTTACCTTCTTTTATAAACCACCCGCACGTTAGAACAAAAGCACCCTGCATCAACAACAAAATTTGTTGCTTCTCGTAGAGGCATTGCATGTCGACAAAGTTGTACCTTCTGAAGTCAGCGTTTTAGAGGGTTGCAATTATAATTAAGAGAGAGCGATCCTAATAAGCCTAACAAGCGCGCACAGATTAACAAAAATCAGCTCTGCCTCACGTTTGTGTAGGCCTCTTCCGTTCCGCTTTCCATATCTTTTGCTCTCCACCTAATTTTTTCATGCAAGTCTAATGCCTCATAACGTGATTATAAGCGTTCGAAAAGCGTTTTCATAATATCACCTATATTTAAATCAAAAACTAATAGAAAATATAGACAAGCGCCAAATCCTACTCCGATTGCTTCGCCGCTCCCGCTTCGGTAAATGGCATCCACGTCCCATGTCCCTTCGCGGGCCCGTAGACCAGACCTGACCTAGGATCCAAAAATGTAAGTCGAGCTAATTCAGAATACTGTGTAATGCCAATCAAATATTCTTGATCGTCGATGAACAAAAACGCGGTCTTCACCATCTCATCTTCCACTTGGCCCCTGCCCCAAACGACCTCCCAGTTATCTGGCTCAAATTCGGGTGCTTTGGGCATGGCACTGAAAATGGCGTTAATTGAGCCTAAACACGTGGAGGTTACCACGAAGCTGATTTTATCGATGCAAGCGTCCACCAAGGTCAAACAAGTTTCCATGAAATCCTTCGTGTCACCTCTAAATCGGATTGGCTATCATAATTTTCAAAATTTCGACATTCAGAATGTTGAAATTGATAATTAGTGAAATACTATAATGCCGAAAGTTCATAATCTTGATCAATATTTCGGCGAATTTTTGAGATTTGTTCATGTATTTTTCAATATCATGACATTCAACATCATGAAACTGCGACCGTATGAAATTGAGACAGTATGAGACTTCGAAATTGTGACCGTAAAAAATTTCAAAGAACTTCTAAAAATTACGGCTCCCGTCATTTTCTCCCAACTCATTTTTCCTGACATGGGTTTGATCCGGGATCACTACCATGCCAACAGCTTTCAAAACCCTACCAAACGGCATTAAAAAAAAAATAAAAAATTCGGAGAAAGAACGGATGAAAGTAAAAGCAGCAAGCGTATCGTTTTGTACTGTTTCGATAGTTTTGCTAAAGCTAAGTCCAAGTCCAAGCTAAGTCCTATTATTTCGTCAACCAGAGGTTTTTTTGATTTTTTTTTATGTTTCAAATGACACGAATGAGATGCCGGAAAGACCTACGATTGGCCCGCCGGCCGGTAGACATTGGGTGGTGTCAAAAATAAATCGGGCAAAATCTTCAGGTCCAATAACTCTTTGACGCTGGCTTTGTTTACGAAACCGAGCGGTGGGAGTTCAACTAAAACCGGGTTTTTTTTCTCTTACTAGGTAGACGGTCCTCACTTGGGGCATCCTCGACCGAGACGTCGAAACTTTGGTAGGCCACCCCTTCATCATTGCGCAGTAGCACTACGAGATTGGTGCTCGTATTCACTGCCAAGATTTTCTCGTAAATGCCGTTCTCGGCAACGGGAAAATCGGGGGCTTCTTCGAGAGGTTTGTCCAAGAAGGCGCTCTCGACACGCGTCTGCACGAGGTGACTGAAAAGGAACTGAACGTTTCTACGCACTTTTGTGGGGAAATAACGAGAATAAATCAATATTTTTTTTATATCCTTGAAAATACTGTGGAATTTCACGATTGTCCTCGAAAATATATTACGAATTTTTTATATCCTTGAAATATCGAGCCTCCACAAAAATAAAAAATTTTTAGCACAATCCAATAAAGTTTTATAGCATCAAAAACTATGGTTGAAACCTATGGGCACCAAATAGCATAACGCGGGGGCTATTCCCGACATCTTGAGTATTTTCGAGAGTTTGAAAATGCTGATCGATCTACTATTTCAGAAAATTGCTTACCCTTTATATAGCCACAACATTCTGTCGCCGGCAATGAAGAACTAAATTCGTAAATTATGAATCAGCATATTTTTCACAAAAGAATAGCAATAACCCCAAACTATTAGGTTGGAACTAAAGTTCGCGCAATATTTTTCTTTCTTTGTAATATTCGGACCGGAAAACGGGCAAGAACCAAAATGTTTTTTGGATGACCGTTTATGCAATAAAATTCTCTATTCGATGTGTGGGACGGAATCGCGTTGCTTCCCTAGAAGAATTTTTTAAAGCTAGATTTAAGCGAAAATGAAAAATCGCTTCGGCTCGCCTTTACAAAACAAATTTGGCTTCCTTTTTAGGCTAATTCGGCATACCTCTTTGAGCTCGGCTGATTTCAGACCGAGAAAATCGCACATGCTGACGGCAGGAAGCAGCTTGGGTCCTTCCGATATAACATTCGACGCAGTTATTTTCGCAGTTCCCCCGGGTCCAGAGGCAATCTAGATTACTCTGAAGTTGATGTGTGGACGGGAATACTTACTACATAATCATTCCCGATCATCTCCCAGGCCCCAATATCGCCGACGCCGCAGTTGCAATCCATCAGCCACTGCAGCCTCGGTTCGCCGTCAGTGCATTGGTACGCTAGGATCCGATCTGAACACCATTAGTATCAGTTCAATAATTTTTGATTTCGAGTGTGCTATACGTGCTATGCGTGCTATACTCCATTACCAACACTGGGTGCCCCAGAAAGCACTCCCTCTACTGGTGCGGAAGCAGCACGGATCGCGATGGTTCCTACACCACTCGAGAGCCCTTGCACAGACGAGAAAACAAGCGCAACCTCTGCGCTTGTTTTCTCCCCTTTTCCGAGAGCTTACGGGTATGTAGTTTTTTGGGACACCCTATAGCACATCATCCACAACCCACCGCCGTAAACGACAAACGGAAAATCGGCAGGTCGACCCTCGCGATCCGCGCCGCGCCAAATCCGGATCCTCTTGGTGGGTACCGATACTGACTTGGTGCTTGGGTTTGCGAGCCTGAGCTTGACGGAGGCCATCTAGGAAAAATGACGTTGGTTTAAGGACGGCTTCGAAGCTTATAGTATACAGCGTAGCAACGCCGCAGCCAATTTTCAAGTAGCAGCTACCTGCTTTGTTGCCCGATCATAGCAATAGAAATAGTTGCCTTTCAATAGATACAACTTCTCCCGCAACAGGGCAAGGTCGCTCTCATCGATTTCTGCTGCTTTTGACGACTAAACATGGTTGGATGTTGGTGCTTTTATTTCTTGTGTCGGCAACAAGAAACGCACCATAGGCTTTGGGTATTTCTCCATGATACCGGTGCTCAGGATTTCGACAACCTCTTCTTTTATTTCATCGTAATAGACAATAGATCCATCATCACCGTTGCCCGTGGAAATGCATGGAGCCATGGGCCTGATTGTAATATTTTTTTTTGTTAAAAACACCCGTAGAAACGTTGGGGGTCATTGGGCTAAAACCCAATTTTTCTCTAAGGATCCCATTTTATGTTGTTTTCCACTTGAACTACGGTTAAAATACGCACAAAACACAATTAAAACACTCACTAATATCGTTGTGAATTTATAGGAAAAATTCGATCCATGGGTCCCCCTTCCCCCTTCCCTCCCTCCCCCCCGATAAGGTGCAAGAACCCCTCGCTTTAGTGCCTGACGTCCGCGAAGCCAGATTTGGAGCGCTTTTCAGAAAAATAGACGATGTTTTAGCGCGGACACCTTATAACATCGAGCCAAATTTTTTTAAAGTTTTCGGACCCACCCTCCATCCAGACCTTCTGCGTACAGGTATTTTATCGCAATTTCGGCCACATCCGGTTCAAATATATTGGTGACGGCTATCGACAGGAAGCCGTAACACTGAAATAACTAATTACATTAACAAAATTCCGAGTTGACAATGCTATAAGCAAGCCTTACAGAAAGCTTCGATTCCGCTGCCGAAAAATGCCAGTTGACAGCTGTCGGAAACGCGATGTCGACCATTTCTAACTTTTTATCTTGTTTGAGAGAAAGCTCTTCGATATCCACAACGGTTTTCCATTCGACGGCCCTAAAAAAGGTCATAACTAGGTAAAATTATTTTAATTAGCTTAGCTTTCTCGGTTTTTGGTTAATAAGCTACTCTTCAGCATAGAATACCTTTCTCCATTTGAATCTCCAAGCAACTTAACAAAGTCTATAATTGCGTATTTAAGAAAGGCCAATAAAACGATACAAGGCCCTAAAATTTTTATTATATATAGATTATTTATAAATACATTGATTACCTTTGAAAGGCGCATGATTTGGAATCACAATGATTTGTTCAATTTCTTCACTAGTACAAAAAATCCGATATAACCGCTCCCTTGTTTGCCGTTTTGCTAATTTTCCCTCCGCCAACGGACCGATTTCCAGGCAGTTTTCGATTCCTGAATTGGTTGTTCGTCGTCAAGGAAATTAGGTTACCCGCCACAATCCATGTATTATCGTTAAATTCAACAACATTAATAGCTGTGCGCGACGACAAAATTGGTGGCATCCGACATCCCGACATTTATTTGTAGTTACTACTTTCAACAATAAGTTCAATATATAGTATTAATGATTCAAATATATAAAATATAATTCAAATACTGTATGAAATAGAAATGGGGCAAGGTTTACGCCATGTTTACATCCGCGGCTTGGGAAGATTGGGGGGCCCGATTTTTGTCGCGTAAGCGGATTGTCGACGAGGGACAACCATAGAACCATAGAAGGATGTAATAAACTAACAAATAATACGAGAACAAACCAAATTCCATTAAAACAAACGATCGTAAAAGTATTTGCCAAATGGGGCCCTTTTTAACTAGATATTTGAGATGGTGCCACTTGGCAACGGTGCTAATCATTTCAAATTTATCTACTTTTTTGCAAATACATTATCAAGTGCGCAACAAAAATTGTCTAACAAAATTAAATCAATTGCTAAATAAATCCTTTGCGAAACGCGGCTATTTGAGAAAAGGGAAAGTTTTTCGGGCGAAATCGACCATTGAGGCGCGCGAGGAGTGCTTGGGGTCCCGAAAAAAACGAGCCGCACCGCATTTAGACGCCCTACATTCAAGATTGGACGTTTCGTAGTCTTTTTCCATATGAACACGTTCTTATTCTTGTTTTTCTTTTCTATATAGGTAGCTCACACACCGGTTTGTTGAAATATTCGATACAGAACCAACAAACTGATCGGCCTTTCTCTACGCACTGCGTTTAAGAAAATGCTCTTATCTTGTCCGTCTGTTTCTATGAAGAAAATGCTGTTTAGCTACGCCATTCGAAAGAGCATGATTTTCTGAGAAAGGTCGAGTCGTTAGGTTCGCAAAAAATTTTTGCATGCCCTTTTAGATGAACTCGAAGATGAGGTGCCCTCTAAATTCCGGATTTGAAGAACTCTGCACCAAAATTGCGCTGTCACTACGGAGCTACACTTTTATAACGGATTCGTGATCAGCTCAAAATTCTGCAGCAGATGACCTTCAGACCTATTTTGAAAGTTCACTTTCTTCTTGCCTTTCCCCTATTATAGTAAGAAGAATACTTCCATCAAAATCCACTGAGCTGACAATAACGGAAAGCGCAAAGTACTGATCCCTG